TATATATATATATATATATATATATATATATATATATATATAAATTACATATATATGTAGATATATATATATATATTAATAAATATATATCATTGTTAACGTTCTCTGTTTTCCGAGACTACGATTGTCTCGGATAACTAATTAAAAATATAAGAATTGTAATGTGAACGTGTGTGTGTATGTCGTGTATAAACGCGCGTACGCGCGCTGTGTACGTAGTTAAATACATGATTCCATTAACATAAACTCCTAACGTATTTATTATTAACCTACATCTTTTATACACTATCTTTCATATATCTAGGTCTTTTGCTAGGTGGTCGCATAAGATCTGAATCAGTGGTTCCTACACACACTGTGTCTTCTCGCCCGAATCTACGTTTCTCAATAAAATCCAGAAGTCTTTCTTTCGTGGCGGGTTTAAAGATACTTTTACACACGGAGTCGGCAGTACTGAGCGAATTAGGGAACGACTTGTCCGTTCTTTGACGCATATAGACCCATTGACCGTTTTCGAGTTTACACTCGACAATTGTGTTGTCCAAATCCTTAATCTGCTTGGTAATCTTGATGAAGCCGTACGGCATTTTCTGCCCTCCTACGTAAAGATGACCGACTTTACGCGGCAAAATACCTTCACCTGTCTCCGTCACGATCTTCAATCGAAAGTCTACGGAGTTTAGTGACACCGGCTTCCATTTTAGAAGCTCCGGTGATGGACCTGTACAATATTTCTCTCCGGCCGGTTGGAATATCAAGCCGTCTGGCTCGTGCGACAACTGACTGGCAAATTTTTCGCCCAATAGATTCTTACTCTGTGTTACGTCCCAGAAATACTTGAGACGCACTGAAAAGGGTTCCCGTTCCTTCAACAATCGTCCCTCCTTCATAGCTCTTAATCTGCCGGCAATTATTTGCTTTTCTATAATGCAATAACGATCAGGATGGAATGATAATTTGCTGACATCCTGGCCGTCGTACATGACGACATCGTATACTAAATATCTGGGAATATTTTTGTCTCCGTCTTTGTCAATCACCATTTCCTACAAGATGACAAATATACGAAGATTGATTTAAAAATTTCCTAAATTCTTTATAAAATACAGAATGCTTAAAAAAATGTTAATATTTATACGAAAAAAATGTTACTATTATAAGTGTGCTTCAAAAAGATGTTAACACTTATATGGAAGTAACTTCTTCTTTATATAAGCGTTGACATTTTTCTTCAGCAAATTCTCCATACAAGCATTAACATTTCTTCAAAGCATCCTGTATATAGTTTTGAAATTTGTCACGATTCTGATCCTTACACCATCCAATAAAGTATCTTTTAGGCATCTAGTTATATCTCGCACATGTGGAAATGTCAACCCTGTTACTTGAAAGACACTGTTGTCTCTATCTACGAAGTATACATCCCTGTCTCCTTGTATCAACATCATGTATCTATAAACATAATGGTTGTTATTGACAAGTATACAAATCATATATAGAGAATTATATATCGAGAATTGGTTTCCAGAGATCTCTGAATATATATCCTCTTACCTAGTGCCATCTGCCTTCCATGATACTCGATATGGTTTATTGTGCAATAACATAATATTGTCAAGGTCCATGGTAACTGGCTGACAACCAGGAAATCCACCAGACTTCCAACCACAAATCTCCTGGACTCGCTTCTGAACTCCCGAGAATATCATTTTATCCAAGATAGGTGTAACACCAGGTACACCAGCCATGAACACAGGATTTTTGTTGTTAAACTCACGCTTCCCTTTTCTCCTGCTATGTGCTTCTAACTCAGGATTCTCGACTCCCGTGCCCGTGCCGTTGTCTGTGTCCTCGACGTTGGAATCGTCATATTCCAAACACCATGTAGGTCTGGCAGGTGGTGGTGGAGCATCTTCTACATCGTCGTACCTTCTGTACAGCTCTTGTATGTAGTCACTTTTGTATATACCAGGAGGTCGCGCGATCGCGAATTCTGCTAGACCTGCGTCGACGCTGGTACCATCGGTTTCTACCATATAACTAATGACGAGAAAACCAGTCCTGTTGAAGCCATGCGTGCAGTGCACACCGACGATTTCCAGAGGATTGTGCGCAATGAAGTTCCGGCAGACCTGCACGAAGGTGCGAGTCTGCTCTTCCGACGGTGTCTCGCCGTGTCCCCTGCATTGCAGTTTCAAATATTTACAGCCGTAATTTTCTATGCATTTTCGATCGTAAAATCTCGACGTGTTAGTCAGGTCTATCCACAAGCCTAACTTCAGCTTCTGACTCTTCAGATATGCAAATAACATATCAATAGTGAAACGACACTCCTCGGGAACTTGGCTGTCATAGGTCGATGAGAGGGGTGTCTTAAAGGCCAGGAACTTGTTTTGTATCAGTTTCATAGCTTTACGGGGACAATGAAGCCAACGTGGTGGTACACCCCCTCTACTATCGTTGCTGCCTGACATCCTTGTAGTTTGATTGACGTATTAAAGACACAGGAGCACGAAATAATCACGCGATTAAAAAATCTTTCGTGATATACGAATCAGCATGTCCAGCTGTTATACTAATCAACAACAGCGTTTACTGTTACTGTTGTATATGGCGAATGGCTGTCTTCAAGCTTAAACCATATGCTGCTAGTCCGTTTGCTTCAAAGTATGATCGCTATTACGACTATGACACTATAGTGTGGTACTTATGAGCTAGGCTTAAGAGTTATGGAGAGAAGAGTACATATTCCCTAGATATCACTAGTCAATTCTTGATGAATTGATGGGTTACTGCTAAACTAGAATTAATATCTTTGTGCTGAAAGCTAAATCTTCGATTAGAAAATATGGAGGAATTTCTTGATTATAAAATTTTAAACAAAGTTTGTTCGGAGATGAGTAGGCAGCTGAAAAACAGATACTCTATGGTCGGTATTCATAGTTAGCTCTTATATTTAGGCCTGTTCTTTGTAGCTGCATTGTTGAACTGGTGCAATATATTGAAGTGAGACAAATATACGTTTTCTCATTTTAACTTATTGCACTAGTTTAGCAGTGCAGCTACAAAGAACAGCTCTTAAAAATGTCTTAAGTTTATTTTCAGATGATGTACAGAGCATTTCATTGGCTACAGAATATCAAAAGATAAATTTAAGGCCAGTATTCATAGTCCGATCTTATATTTAAGTTCATCTTAAGTACTGTTTTAAGATGTCATGAACCAATCACAGAGCTGTATTCGCATCTTAAGATATTACTTAAAACAGTCTTAAAATAAGATTCGACTGTGAATACCGGCCTAAAATGGTTTCAATATAAGACACGACTATAAATACCGGTCTATGACTAATATTCATAGTCAGATCTTATATCAAGAGTACCTTAAGTTTATTTTCAGGTAATTTACGGATCATTTCATTGGCTACGGAGTATCTGAAAATGAACTTAAGACAGTCTTAAATATAAAGCCAGCGGCACACGATGCTTGTTTCGTGCTGGATGGAAATACTCTATTCTGGTTGGTCCATCTTCAGAAATGCACCAATCAGAACAGAGTATTTCCATCCAACAAGCAATCCAGCATGAAAATAAGTATCATGTGCCGCTGGCTTAAAGGGACGTCTACATTGAAAGTAAACAGTAAGAAGTAGGAAGTAAGAATAAGAAATTGACCAATCATAGGGTGCGTTCAGAAGACACAACTGTTGCACAACGGTTGAATAATTAGTCAACGTAATTGGTCTAAAGTTAGAGATCTAACAGTAAGGACCAATAATCACTGACCGCTCACTGATCAGCTATGTTTTCTGAACGCAGCCATAGTTAATTATTCTTCTCACATTCGACTGTGGTTGGTCAATTTCTTACTCTTACTTCCTACTTCTTGCTATTTACTTCCAATGTAGACGTCCCTTAAGACTTGACTATGGGCGCATTCCACTTAACGTTCGCAACGACGCAAGCGTCATTCTATCTTTGTTGCTCATTAGCTTGGTTTATATCGTGCACTTGATATGCGTACTAAATAGTAACTTTCTATTAGATAATCTTAATATCGACAATGCATATCAACAGCGACGCATTCAATCAATACAATACGTTTTGTTGATAAGTATTATACCAGCTTAATATACCGTTATTTATATATATCATCGATATTAAGATTATTTAATAGAAAGTTACTATTTAGTACGCGTATCAAGTGCACGATGTAAACTAGGGTATTAGGTGTTAAACAATGCTCGCGTCGTTGCAAGAGTTAAGTGGAACGTACCCGATGAATACCGGTCTATGTCCTGTACAGTCAGCGCCAAAACGGTTTAAGCCAGCGGCACTGGTTTTCGTCAACGTCATTGGTCCGATTGCAATCCTCGATCCATAATCTGATATGGGCATAAAGCACATTTAATTATCTGATTGATCTGATTGCAATCTTTAATTCATATTTTAACACGGACATTAACTAGAACATCTTTCCATGCCAAGCACTCCAAATATTTCAGAAAATATGATCCGCATCTGGCCCAATGAGAAAATTTGTTTTCTAATGGGAGAATGCTTCTATTGGACAAGACCAAAATTACAAAGTTTGTATACTGATATTCACTGTCAGTACTGAAAATCTGTAATTTATGTTACATATATTGTACATTTCTATAGGTTGTTACATATACTATAGATTTTTAGCATAGATTGGCAGTGGATATCGAAAGATAACGAAAGGTAACGAAGATTATAAAATGCAACTATTGTGCCTCGAAGTGCACTTGTGCTTTTCAGGATTATAAAAATATCAAATTTCTCTCAAATTAATTATTGATTTGAATAAGTTTTAACTAACTGACGATTGATTCGAACAAAATCGATCGAAAAATGTTTAACGATTGACTTCAACGAATTAAATTAAAGATGGCTTTCAATTGAATACATTGAAAACGATCGTTAATCGGTCTTCTATTGAATTTGTTAAAATCAATTGTCGATTAAACAATTTCCAATTAAATGGACTTATAGTACTCGTCAATTAAACAAAAATTAATTTTAAAAAGTGATTAATTAGCAACCTGGTGCTCTTTTGGTGAATATCGCGAGAATGAGATGAGGCATTTGAGAACACAAGTGTTGACGGATATGACAATGTATAATTGTGCTAGAGTTGTGTCACAATGGACTATCGAGATATATATTATCCCGGGTCGTTGGCGTCCAGTATTCTTTTCCCCTTTTTTTTTAGCTTCTCTTGTTCGCTCTTTTTTCTTTCCTTTTTTCAAATATACGTACCTTCAGCAGAGCTCGCGAGGTATTTGCCGTTTTGAGACAAATCCATATCGAGGATGAGGCCAGTGTGCCCTTTCAACGCACCAATCAGCCATGAGTTTTGAAACATTTGCTGCGCTTCCCGCCGTTTTTGGCTTTTCGCACGTTGCTTGCCCGTTGTGTTGTTGCCGGCAGGGGCTGATTGCTGATCGGCGCTTGGTGGTTGCGTCTCGAACTGGTTTTTAAGGCTAGCCGTCTCTGTCGCATCTATACGTGCAATAAAGAAAATACGGTAGGGTAGTAGGGGAAGTTTTGAGGTGCGCGCGTCGATGCGACCGCGTGACTGACGACACGTGCAAGCTCTCGAAGAGCGTTGTAATTAGCACGTGCGGAAATCTAAATCGTACGTTTTTTTTTTTTTTTTTCAACGAATGTCATACCGCCGAAACAAGTGAATTTTCCAAACGACCTAACGAAGTAGTATCTCTGTCACGAAATGCTAGACTTGTCTGAGAATATCTTGGCGAGGCGCGTGTTTGCATCCACGAAATGCACGATGAATTTGTGCGGTCCCGTTCGTATGACTTTCGGAATAATTTCAGACTGAGAAGACAGTCGTCGTGAAGCATCGTGTCCAACGTACCGTACATAAAACATTTCTCAATAGGAATGAGACCTGAGCGCAAAGATTGTCGTAAGTGTTGGCGCTGGAAGTCAACGCACAAAGACCCACGTAAACGCAGGTGATGCGATGGATATGGCTTGCATTAACGTTAATCCGTGTGCGTTGAACTCCGACGCCGACAATTGTCGCAAGATGCGACGTGTGTGCATCTTTTTCGACCAGCTAAAGAGGAGCGAAACAGGATACGGACCTGAACACATAGACTGTCGTTTTCGGCAAAGTCGTAAACACAAGTCTGTGTCGGAAGCCAACGCATAAGGATTGATGTTGATTCTTGCGCGTTTACTTCCCCAACACCGACTTGCATTTACGATTGTTGGAAACGATTACGACAATCTTTGTGCTCAGGCCCTACGCGCCGGAACGCAGCTGCGCGCACGTGACATTTGACAGCTGACGACGTGGACATTTCACAGCTGAGATCTCACGTCGCAGTGGATAGTCGTGCGCTTGATGTTGCCGGCATGAGACGCGGACAAGAGAGAACATGCGTACCTCTCTCTTTCGACCGGTTGTGAAGCTTGCGGGTCACTCGGCCGATGATGTAGCCGATCACGAGGGTGACCGTGGCGGCGAGCATCAGCGAGCCCAACAGCGACGTGTAATCGACCCCGTCCGCTGTGTTGTTCGGTATCGTCATGTCCTCCATCGTCGTAGCGTAAAAACACCGGTCACTTGCCGCTTGACACAAAATGCATCCGACTACGCGCGGCTCGTAACACACACACACACACACACAACTTCCTGACTAGCACCACTCGTGAACGAAAAAGCCGCGAAAAATCCTGATGAAACGTCCGACACCACGAGACGTTTCGCGTGACGATCACTGGTAGAGAACGAAAGTGTACACGTGCATCCGGATGTGCAAGAGTTATGCGTTTCGAAGAACCACCGCGATTATATCTTGTTTATCAAGCGACGAGATAACGCGACGCTAAAACGCGACGCGTCCACGTCGCCCACCGCAGATTGTACGCGTGGGATATCTCGTGAATTGTACGTGTCCCGAAACTCATCAAGGATATTACACTGCAACCGTTCCGTCGATCTGCAGGACGTTCCTTTTAGGAATCGTCTACAATGCAGTCGTAGTTACGTTTTAAAGTCCGTTTTGTTGAATTCGTTAATGAAACTTTTTATTTTTCACAAGTTTACGCTAAGGAAATAGATGCACAGACAATCGATTCACAGACTAGAGTTATGGCCGGTATTCATAGTCGAATCTTATTTCAAGACCGTCTTAAGTAATATCTTAAGATGCGAATACGGCTCTATGATTAGTTCATGACGGGAGCGGTGCACTTGGACACGTGCATTTGGACACAGCCAATCACAGCACCGTGTGATTAGAGACATTTATAGGGTCCCTTGGAACAGCGACTTGTGATTGGACTGTGTCTAATTGCCCCGTGTCCAACTGATATACACCCGTTCATGACATCTTAAGACAATACTTACGATGATCTTAAATATAAGATCTGACTATGAATTCTGCCCTATTGGCTCCTGCACATAGGACGCGGTAATGCTTGCTGCGCGGCGGAAGTCCGCGCGACAGCCAATCAATATGTTGTTTTTCCGTAAGAGCTAGAAAGTTATTCGTGAACTTCCGCTGCGTGGAAAGTATTACCGCGTCCTGTGTGCAGGAGCCATATGACTTTGAAACGTTACTACAATCGCGTTTGACCCTTTAGTTGAAACATCTGTATTAAGCGAAAAAAATAAAATTTATAAAATGAAGATTTTCAGCACAAATCACGCGTTTATCATTTGTTTTTTAAGTGTAACTTCCCTTTTTTCGTTCACGTGACTTTCATAAAATTTAAGTCCCGATCTACAATAGGTGTAGTAAGCTTTAAGCTTTAAGAAATTGACCATTATAGTCGAATTATAGAAGAATAATCTATTATAATTGGTCAATTTCTTACTGGTTAAAGCTTAGTACATCTATTGTAGATCGGGACTAACGAGCTGTAACTTTAGCGAAACTAATAGCATGTTTGACTGGCTCTGAGTTAACCCACTCTGGGTTATTCAGTCTACGTTTATTGGTCGAACAAGTACAAAGTAAGCTTTATAATTGGCTAGTAGAGACTTATGACGTCATTAATCGCTCTCGGAGCGATTAACCTAGGGCCAGTCGAACACGCTATAAAGATAATGGTCCGTATTCTGAATTCCCTTTTAATGATAAATGAGCCTCTAAAAGAGGTTTAGGAGCCATCTGATTGGCTGAGAAGCTATATTTAAGGTACCTTTATCGATAAAAGAAGATTCAGAATATGGGCCTATGAGATAGTTATGGAAAATGAGATGAAGTTATGAAGTTATGAGATAGTTATGAAGAATTTCATAACTTCGAATGTGTAACTTTTAAATATATTTTCGTCAAAATTTACTTACTTTTAATGGTAATGCATAAATAGAAATTAAGATTCGTCAAATATCAAAATTTTTTATGATATTAGTCAAATTGCATCAACGAAAATTCACATCATACACATAAAGTTTAAATGAAAATGATGTTTCGGCTTTGATCGCAAAAGATGAATAAATAATAACGGATCTAATTCTTATAATATTTGCCCGTATAATTCTTAGGCCGGTATTTATAGTCAGATCTTATATTTAAGATCAATTTAAGTACTGTCTTAAGATGTCATGAACCAATCACAGAGCCGTATTCACATCTTAAGACATTACTTAAGACAATCTTGAAATAAGATTCGACTATGAATACCGGCCTTAGACCCGTTATTTTTATTAATTTCAAAATTTCCACTACGAATCGCCACTGTTCTTGACGAAAAATCGAAGTTGTGGTACAATAATAATCAGCCCGACGTTTTATTTTTTAGTAGTACGATTAAATGGCAAGTGAGTCATGTTTACTTTATTCCTTTTTCTCGCATACGATATTTCTATGAAAAGTTATAGTTTATTACGTATACCATAGCTTTTTATCGGCAAAATAATGAAAATAGATTTATTCGTGTTACTTGCACTTTTAACATTTTTACACCCAACGCCCATTGTAGTACACTAGCCTCTCTTTAGAAGAAGAGCTCTCTCATTGGATTTCGCTCATCGTATTATAAAAAAATGCAAAATATACGTTTAAAAAATGAAACCTTGTAAATTTTCTATTTATTAACGAACATTCATGACTGTTTCATTTGTTCTCTATGAACATAAAGTTGTAAAATACTTTTCAAATAATTCTATTATCATTTTTTGCAAAGTTGAAACTTATTAAATTTTGTCTATTTCTCGATAAGACAGAAATGGTTAATATCACTTGTTAAAAAAAAAAACATTTTATTACATATTCTTTTCATTATAATTTACTTAGAATAAACATATTATAAATAAGAAGCAACTTACTGATCAACAGAACGGTTGCAATACAATTTTACTTATTTTTCGTGATCGTAAGAAATAATGGGTGTGTCAGGAGACACAACGGTTACACAATGGTTGAGTAATTAGTCAATGTAATTGGTCTAAAGGCTCGTCTACAATTTCTGTAAGAATATGGCTGTAAGGCTGTAAAACGCGAAATAAATTATTTTCATTCGCTGACAGCTCACGTTACAGCCATATTCTTACAGCTATTGTAGAATGGCTTTAAAGTTAGGAATCTAACAATAAGGACTAATAACCACTAACCGCTCACTGATCAGCTGTTTTCTGAACGCAGCCAATATTGTATTTAGGAAAAGAATAGTTGTAGTTGATGTTATTTTTACTAAGAAAAAGAGAAACTTCATTTTTCGTAGGCATCATGTCTAAATATTCGTACAGTATGACAATACAACATGCTTGACAAGTTGATAATTGTTTAGTAAACGTCCAAGAGTGCATAAATTTTCAAGATATAAAACGTAGCTTAGGTTATTTTGGAATATTGCTTCGCATCCCCATACATATCGTGAACGCTGAAGTGAAAGTACAATAATTTAATGATATAACAGATGCAGGCTACTTGACTTCTTGCATTCGACGACTATATTCTTAATAGCAATGAATTCGTCGGAAGGCAACAAGTACATTTACCATTTGCCGTTTTTAGAACGATCGGAGCTTTGCAAAATATTGAACCAAAATGACAAGTGGGAAGAACTAGCTGGTAAGTTATTGGGAAATTCTACAATATATGAAGCGCATACATGTTAACTATTAACCTATTCGTTCACTTCTTTCGAGTCTGTTTACAATCAATAATTATACAGTTCAGAGTTTTCCGATTTGGCTTAAACTCACCAATATTGTGTACTTTCACGCGTAGAAATCGAATATAAAAATTAAAATCACCGCACTATCCCACAAGACGAAATATTGTTAAAGTTAACGAGTATGACAGGTAATGAAACTTGTCATAGCGACGAAGGCTCGTATTCTGAGTTCTCTTTTAACGATAAATGAGTCTCTAAAAGTGACTCATAGCCAATCAGAAAGCTTATAAGCCACTTTTAGAAGCTCATTTATCGTTAAAAGAGAATTCAGAATACAGGCTAAAATGTAGCTACATCAATATACTCCATGGCCATATGCACATGTAAAAAGTCAAAAAGTACTTAATTAGATTAATTCTTAATTAAATTCTTTGTAACATTATAACATTGGCAGGTACTTGGATGAAGTACGATGTCTTGACAATACAGAACCTACGAAGAGAAAAGAATCCTACTGATGAACTTCTGACACTATGGGGTCACTACAATCATACTATAACGGAACTGTTTGTTCTACTGGCCAGAATGCAGCACTATCAATCAATGGTTCCTCTTTTGCCTTTTGTGGATCAAAAATTTCATCAGCTTTTGCACAATGGAGAGGGTAATTTGCAGAGAATGCTGCGGAAACAGCAGACCAACAGGAACACGAAAGATTTAAAGATTGGAGCACAGAATTTTAACGAATACGCCCAGCCACAGCCAAACATTCCAAAAGTTGTCGCTAATGAAAAGGAGCATTGTAAAATATTAAATCAACCAATGGCGCAGTTGGCTATCAATCGCAGCGACTCTAATAATTTGCTTGTGGCTTCACCGGTGGTAGCAGCAGCTCGTGCTTTTTCACCGTCTCGACAGAATACTGGCAGTAATGACAAGAAGATGAATGAGTCACCATTACCAAAAACAGAAGCCACTCTGCCTCGTGTGACTTATAGTGAATTAGGTATTGCCACAAATGGATGGAACAAGTATAATATATTAGGCAAAGGCGGATTTGGAACAGTGTATAGAGGTATGCATTTCTATAAACACATATGGATTGCTAAATCAGAATCATGTAGATAGACGAATAGCTTTCAAAGTCTTATTTTCTCTTACTTTAGTTGAATACTATTAGAGTCTATGTATTTACATATTTCATATAGATAGTTTAACTTTGTAGAGACATTTATTATATATATTGATAGCATCTATAATTGATAGCACCTATAAAACAGTTTGTCATAGAATGTTACTAAAACAAACATTCTTTAACTATTTCTATTGTAGGTACTTGGAAAAACACTGATGTGGCAATAAAGAGGATCGAACGGAAAGGACGGAATGGTTCCGAAAGAGAAAGAGAGGGTTACATGGTGCAGCTGCAACAATCTCTCATAGAAATAAAAATTTTAGATTCTCGTGCTCATGAAAACATCTTACCTTTATACGCATATAGTTTCGGCGGCGACGCGCCGTGCTTGGTCTACCAGTTGATGAGAAACGGATCTTTGGAGGATAGACTACTAGTAAGAGAGAAGACCAAACCGCTTACATGGATACAGAGGCATGAGATCGCCAAAGGTACAGCGCGTGGATTGCAATACTTACACACCATCGGTGAGAAACCTTTGATTCACGGTGACATTAAAAGCGCTAATATTTTGTTGGACAAAAATTTTGAACCAAAGATTGGTGATTTTGGCTTGGCACGAGAGGGTCCTGAGAACGATAGCGACAGCGATATGCAGGTAAGTAATTACAACTAACTTTGATGTGAACAATATTATTATTATTATGTATATGTATATGTATTATTACAATATTATTATGTAACGTATAAATTGTTAAAAAGTCACAATTTATGTTAAGAAGTTATATAATATATTTTCCATTTCTGTATCTTCTCTTTATTTTAACTTTACCGCTGAATGTAGATATATACATTGTTAATGGCAATATATATCGAATGTGTAATTCTCTTATTAATATTTTTATTAATATAAAATATAATTTATATAATATATAAATTATATAATATAATAATTATAATAAATTAAATTAAAATTATATAATATAATAATATAATAATTGTTATTTTTTTTAGGTCAGCAGAATCAATGGGACACGACCGTATTTACCCGAAGATTTTTTATTTGATAAGAAGTTATCAACGAAAATAGACACATATAGCTATGGAATAGTGTTATTCGAAATAGCGACGGGTCTTCGGGCTTATGATGATTCGCGTCCTGAGAACAAATATCTACGAGATTTCATTTTCTCTTGGGAAGACAAAGATCTTTCTCTTCTAATAGATAAAAAAGCCGGTGGAAAGGATAGTCAGGTTTATGGAAATTTAATAGTATTAGGAAAATGGTGTGCTCAGCGATACGCACAAGATCGACCGGAAATGGAACTTGTTTTCCGAAAATTGAATGATTTATAAGTTTTCACAATCATATGGTGCATCACGTCTCTTTGAAAGGATTGACTATATACAACTTCCAAGTTTGAATTACAATTGCGGGATCAGATAAGAGGAGCATTGAAGCATGTAATATATTAAGCCACAAGTGCAATTAATTGAAAAAGAAACAAATTTTGTAATATATAATATGTATGTATATATACTAAAATATACTAAAAGAAAATATTAAAAGAGAATAACACATTTATTTTTCTTATATTGTCATCATATTTGTAAATTGTTTTATTAACAGATTTATCCACCAAATTTTATATAATGTTCTAAAATTAAATACATAAAGCAATATTAGGTAATAATTATGAACTTAATTATCAACGATAAAATTGTTTTTACTTTTCTTAATTGTATTTGTCTATTTAGAAAAGTCAAATAAATCAACAACAAAAGAATTTTATACAAAAGAAATATATTTTCATTTCTCTATTTCCATCGTGATACTATATACCATTTATAAAAATTTATTACTATGATGTTTTGTACACTTAAAAAACAATAAACTAAACGTCAAAGTATAAAAATAATTATGTAATAATATCCTCTTATTATATTTTAAATCTATAAAAATGTACATACATTTATTTTCACTTTATATTTATTTTATTTATATTTACTTTCACTTTATATTTGTTTTATTTATATTTTATGATAAACATACTTATATTAATTATGTTAAAAATAAAGTGGAAATAAATATATATAAAGTATATATAAATATATACTTTAAAAATCAGTAATCTCTTCGGTAATCCGAACGATCGCACGACGAAATATTGCGTAGTCGTTGGCACTTGCAAAGAAAAGAATGTAGGCATTGTATATGTGATTATAAGTTACATAAGTTACATAAACATGTGTATCCGCTCTGGTTGCATTTTCAAGATATTTTCTAGTGTTAAAAATGATATATTTTAAATTTGACAACTTAGAAAACGTAGATAAATTCTTGAATATTCTTATTCAGAAAAATGTGATCTTCCATTTAATTTTATATCTTTATTCGATATAAAAAGATTTTCTCTCAAAGTTTTATGATAAACATACTTATATTAATTATGTTAAAAATAAAATGAAAATAAATATATATAAAGTATATATTTATATATACTTATATATACTAAGTTTTATGATAAACATACTTATATTAATTATGTTAAAAATAAAATGAAAATAAATATATATAAAGTATATATTTATATATACTTATATATATTTATATATACTTAAATATATTTATATATACTAAGTATATATTTATATATACTTTATATATATTTATTTTCATTTTATTTTTAACATAATTAATATAAGTATGTTTATCATAAAACTTAG